TGTTTATTATATTCACATATTCTCTCTTAAATATAGTATTTTTCTAAGTTAAATTCAGATTGTGTTTATGTGTACTTGATATAAAATGTTAACAGTTAAATTCACATTTGTTTTAGTTAAATTTAGATTTGCTCTATTTGCATTAAGCACTCATATTCTCTATCAAATTTATGCTCATTCTTAGTGAAATTTAGACTGGTTTCATTTGTATTTAATCTAGAGTTTTTATAGTTAAATTCAGTTTTGTTCTTAGTTTAATTCAGACTTGCTCAATGTTTATTATATTCACATATTTTCTCTTAAATATAGTATTTTTCTGAGTTAAATTCAGATTCTGTTTATGTGTACTTAATATAAAGTTTTAACAGTAAAATTCACATTTCTATTGAGTTAAAATCAGACTTGCTCTATTTGCATTAAGCTCTCATATTCTCTATCAAATTTATGCTCATTCTTAGTTAAATTTAGACTGGTTTCATTTGTATTTAATCTAGAGTTTTAACAGTTGAATTTAAATTTGTTCTTTGCTTAATTCAGATTTGCTCAATGTATATTAAGCTCACATATTCTCTCTTAAATATAGTATTTTTCTTAGTTAAATTCAGATTTTGTTTATGTGTACTTAATATAAAATTTTAACAGTTAAATTCACATTTGTTTTGAGTTAAATTCAGACTTGCTCTATTTGCATTAAGCTCTCATATTCTCTATCAAATGTATGCTCATTCTTAGATAAATTTAGACTGGTTTAATTTGTATCTAGTCTAGAGTTTTCACAGTTAAATTTAAATTTGTTCATTGCTTAATTTAGACTTGCTCAATGTATAAATTAAGCTCACATGTTCTCTCTTAAATTTAGTATTTTTCTTAGTTAAATTCAGATTGTATTTATGTGTGCTTAATCTACAATTTTAACAGTTAAATTCACATTTGTTCTCAGTTAAATTTAGAGTGGTTTTATTTAAGTTTAATCGAGTTAAACAGTTTTATATGAGTTTTAACAATTGAATTCTTGTTTTATTTGCGTTTGACCTCGAGATTTGACCATGTAACCTAAAAATAATAATAAACAAAAGGAAAAGAGTAAATGGATTGCTCGAATCCCTTTTTTGTAGATCATTTATTTACAACTCGGATAATTTTATGCGAGTGTTTTTGTAAATGGGGGAGGTTTATTAGGTGTTTCGCTCTTTCGTTTATTTTTTGTGTTTGCTTCCTTCGTTGGAAATTGGCGCAGATAATGTAAACAGCCCAACAACGATACACGGTTTATTATTGGTCGAGTGTTCGCAATATACTGGCCCTTCTCAACCCTCTCTCTCTCTCGTTCCACCGCCTCCCTTGACCAAGGGTCGCGTGTTCGCATCGACTAGCAAAGTGTAATCTGATTAACGCGACCGCCATAAAAATACATTTTTTTTTAGTATATAATGTTATTATTACTCGTTAATATTGTAATTACGGTGAAATTTTCAACAGCACAATATTTATGAATATACACAGTGAAACATCGGAGTTTCCATGGTTTTGAAAACTCATTAAAAAAAACTTGAAAGTCGAACAAAGAAGAACGTAGTAGACTTTGATTTTTTTATTTAATACATAAAAACAAATGATTTTACATTGTTTTTCCCTGAAAAGAATAATCAACAAAATATTTATGCATATAAACCGTGAAACATCGAAGTTACCATCGTTTTGAAAACTCGTAAAAAAAAAACTTGAAAGTCGAACAAAGAAGAACGTAGTAGACTTTGATTTCTTTATTTAATACATGAAAAAACAAATGATTTTACATTGTTTTTCTCTGAAAATAATAATCAACAAAATATTTATGCATAAAAGCAGTGAAACATCGAAGTTACCATGGTTTTGAAAACTCGTCAAAAAAAAACTTGAAAGTCGAACAAGGAATAACGTAGTAGACTTTGATTCTTTTATTAAATACATAAAGAACAAATGATTTTACATTGTTTTTCCCTGAAAAGAATAATCAACAAAATATTTATGCATATAAACAGTGAAACATCGAAGTTTCTATGGTTTTGAAAACTCGTAAAAAAACTTGAAAGTCGAACAATGAATAACGTAGTAGACTCTGATATTTTTTATTATTACATAAAAAAAATGACATTACATTGTTTATCTCAAAATAAGCATCAAGTAGAAAATTTAAAATGAACATGTTTTAAAACTCGATCAAAAACTCGGAAGTCGAACAACTAATATCGCTGTAACCGTTAATTAAATTTAAAGAAATAGACAGTTTTTTTCTGCAAACTTAACATTACGTTGTGGTAATGTTAAAGAGCGGATGGTGAGGTTTTGAAACTCGATCAAAAACTCGAAAGTCGAATAAAATATAGCGTTGTAACCTTTGCTTAAATTGAAACAAATACTAGTCAAAAATTAATGTAATCTAATTTTTTTGAGTTTTCACTCTTAAATTCTGATTTGTTCACGTTTTCTCACACATTTCAACATGGTTGAAATTTAGAGGTTTCACTGTATATACGAACTTTTTTTTTGAGTACATAAAAGCCAGTCCTCACGAAGACACACATAAACCATTGAAAAGAGGGGAGGGTTTCTGCGCGGCGCTTAATTCGCCCCAATCACGATACACACAAACCTAATATACACACACACATACACACATTCCCTGAATGTGAATATTTATTGCTCTACGTAATAACTGCATTAATGAAAGGGAATTACGTGAAGGTTGTTTGCTCGACTTTCCTGCGGTTCCGTTTCCAACATCCACCCCTCTTCTTCTTCTTCCACCGCCTCCTTTAAAATTCAAGTTATTCTCTTTTCCGACGTTCGTATGTTCCGTAATGGCCCTACCATTTGCAAAATTTCTATTAAGAAATCGATGTTATTACATCAACGTCGTTAGTTCTTCCATCTCTTTCAAGCAATTTCAGTCAGTATGTAATGATTACAACAAAAAAGATCTACAAGTTGTGATTACAAGTGTAAAAAGATCTCATAAAATAGTTTAACAATATGAATTCAGATTTTAAATAATGATAACCAAAAAAATCTTAAAAAAGTGAAAAAATATCTTAAAGAAAATAGTTTTTCAAGAAGAATTTTACATATTTTCTATCATGTTTTAAAAATTTTACATAATTTGTTTTATTTTCAAATTAAACATAACAAAATTAAGCTAAAACCAATACAATCATAAACCAAAAGTCTGCAGTTTTTTCACCTCTTTTAAGAAATTCCAGTCATTACATGTAATAATTACATCAAAATAATTTAGGAGTAATGCTTACAAGTGTGATATAATACATGATATAATAAAATAGTTTCTCAATCTAATTTTTCATTTTTCCAACAAGTTCTAAAAATTATACCTAAGTTATAGGAGATGTATATTCAAATTAATAATGTCAAAATTTGTTAATTCTTCTACCACTTTTGAACAATTCCGGACATTAGGTAATGATTACAACAAGAAAATCTACAAATAATACTTAAGAGTTCAAGTTCTAAAAATAATACCTAATTTGTTGGAAATTCAATTGAAAATTAAGCTAAAACCTAGCCTTTAGTTTTTGCACCTGTTTCTAACAACAAAGTCTACAAATAGTGCTTAAGAGTAAAATAATAATCAAATAAAATAGTTTCCCAATATGAATTCAGTCTTTAAATAGTTATGACAAGAAATAACTTCATTACTTAAATACTTAAATAGTTTCTCATGTAGAATTTTTTATATTTTCCATCAATTTTATAGTTATATTAACTAAGTTGTTGGAAATTCACTTTAAAATTAATCATATTAAAATAAAGCTAAAACTACCATACAATCCAAATCGTTATTTTTTGTCCTCTTTCGAACATTCAGGTCATTGTAATAAAGTCATAGTGGACACACATAGAAGCGCAGAGCTTGGCTCAGACAATCTACATTGCAGACATGTGAAAACACCGATGAAGAAGGGGAATCTTACAAAAAGAGACCTACAAAAATGGTCATTGTAATAATGTAATGATTACAACAAACAATCTACAAGTAATACTACAATATAAAGTGTATTTTATATTTTTCTACTTGAAAGTCAAAAATGCCACTAAAGCAGAGAAGTTACTTTAGCTATTAGAAATGTACCAAAGTAATTCACTAAGTTTAGAGCTGGTAATTTCAGTATTAAAGATGTGCTAGTAATAATGATGAAATCAAGACATTGATCGAGAATAACAAAATGACATAAATATTAAAAATATCAAAAACAGCAATGTTCGAGTGTTCTTTGAAGCTTTCTTTCCAGACAAGAATATGAATTTTTCATATTTTTCATCAAGTTCTGTTTTTGAATCATTTCTCTTTTTGTTTGATTTATCCGATATTTGCATAAAGTAATATTTACTGACGATTCATTATTTACGTTGCATGAAAATCCTATTGAATTACATGGATTTAGATGTATTCAATCAACTTGAAATAATTAGATCAGATTGCTGTTGAAATGATTCTAAACAATTTCGTTTTCGATTGTTTTACGATCGATTCAGATATGGATCCCAGCTGTCCATCTGCGGTCGCAATTATGAATTAAATCGGCGGAATTTTCCGGTGGAAAATGCAGTATAATCGCATCGCATCGCGTCGCGTAATAAATATGATTTCGGGGAGCCGGGGATAACAATGTTACATGTGAAACGGGAGGGATGAGGAAGAGGAGACCCGGTTCCAAACGACTCATTTGCGCTGCACATTCGTCACGCCCAGAAATATTTATATAAATAGAAATTCCCCGAGCTTATACATCATAGTTATGGTTTGGGACATTACCTAACTAACGGGTACACGGGCTTTGGGAAAACATCTTTCATAATTTGATAAATTAAGACCGCACTCACACTCTGTCCTTCCTTCCTGCCTGCCTACCTACTTTATTAATGACCTTTCTCTGTGGCGTTTCAAATTTTCAGTGTCTTCAACGTTTGTTTTCTATACTTTTCTTTTTGTGTTTTTCCTGCAGCCTTTTGTCAGGGAAGGGAGGCTCTTCCGACCCTCTGCACCCTCATCACCGGCGACGCTCTGCTCTACTCTATGTTCAGGGAGAACGGACCCTCCGTTCCGTGTCCCTTCAGAGGATCCTTCACGTTCGGCTACAACAGAGGCCACGGGGTGTGCGAATCCCCTGTGTCCAGCATAGATGTCTGCACGGAAGACAGCCGACTCCTCCTCAGCTACCAAGCGTGTCCAGACGTTCACTCTTCAGAAAGCGCAGGTACACTATTTCAACAACTTTTACACAAACTTTCCGCAAAAGATAATCACAATGAGAAGAGATATAAACAAATAAATAATTAGTAAATTCATAAAATTCAAAAATGAAAAGATTCATACATATTAACAACGAAGTAAAAAGACATGATTATAAGGACATAAAAGTATAAATATATTGTTATTTTCAATATATAATTTCAATAGCAATTTTATTTTAATTACGTAATAAAATACAGAAATAAATGTAATTGATGGCATAATAATTAGAAATAATAAGTAGGTAACAGGACTTCCATCCATTAAGTTGGTTTTAGTGTTTTTTTTTTTTATTATTTCTTTCTGCGTTAAAGTCTCGAACAGGTGAGGAGAGAGACCATCATAATTACGAAGAACTAGTTTTCAAACTCGCAACAGGTCCGCATCCTCATTACGTAATTTCAATTAACAGTTCTAAAAGTTTCATTAGTTGACCCGATATTGCTGCAGTTATGCACTTCCCTCCACCTATTGTAATAAAACCCCGACTACAATTTCCACGTCACGTCATTGAAACGTCAAAACTTATATCAATAATAATATTAGGTTCGATTGATCACTAAATGACATTTGACACTTCGTAAGTTACGTCATTCATACGTCATAATTTAAGTAGAAAACAACAAAGATACGTCAACATTTACAAAAAAACGTAGATAGTTTTAATGAATCAGAAAAAGAAAATTTACGTAATTTTAATTAATAGTTCTAAATTTTCATTAATTCGTTCAATTTTGCTAACATTGAATTCAATATAAAATATTATGAAAATGTATAGGTTACGTCATTCATACGTCAATATTAAAAAAAAAAACAACAACAAAGATAGTTTTAATGGGTCAGGATATAAAAAGTGACGTAATTTTAATTAACAGTTTTAATAGCTTCATTAATTAATGAGATTTTGAAAATATGCAATTCAATATAAAATGTCATGAGAATGTTACGTCATTGAAAATGTAAAGTCACGTAATTTTAATTGACATTTATAAAAGTAAATTATCATGTCAATTTGAAGTTTACGTCATTGATACGTCAAAACTTATGACATTTGACACTTTGTAAGTTACGTCATTCATAAGTAATTATTTAAGTAGGAAACAACGAAGATAGTTTTAATGAATCAGAAAAAGAAATTGTACGTAATTTTAATTAATAGTTCTAAATTTTCATTAATTCGTTCAATTTTGCTAATATTGAATTCAAAATAAATCATGAAAATTTATAGGTTACGTCATTCATACGTCAATATTAAAAAAAAAACAACAAAGTTTGTTTTAATTGGTCCGATATTGTAAACATTCCGTCATTCAAACATCAATATTTAAGAAAGAAATCAACAATGATTGTTTTAATAGATCAGAATATGTAAAGACACGTAATTTTAATTAACAGTTTTAAAAGCTTCATTAATTCATTGGATTTTGAAAATATGCAATATAAAATATCATGAAAATTTATAAGTTACGTCATTGAAAATGTAAAGTCACGTAATTTTAATTGACAATTATGAAAGTAAATTATCATGTCAATTTGAATTTTACATCATTGATACGTCAAAATTTAAGAACAAAAGAAAATATGTTGAATGGATCAGCAAATGTAAACTGGTATAATAATAATTGACATGTATTGAACAAATTGCGATGCGAAATTGAATTTTATATAAGCACGTAACGGGGGTAGACTGAAAGAACACAAAATACGTCCAAATGCCTCCAAACAAGCTTTTGCCCTTTTCCTTTCCGAATTCAACTTTCGGACGCAACGCATTCAATCCCGAATCAAGAGTAATCTTTTCTGGATGGGATGGATATATATATTTATTTATTTTTTTGCGTATATGTGTGTGGTTCGATCCTCCGACATTTGTGCACACGTTGGCACGTCTATCGATTTTCCGGCTTTCCTTTGAAATAATAATAATTGCGGTTTGGGATGCTGCTGCTACTGCTGCTGCTGTTGGGAATCGATGCTCTAGCAACACCACTGCATTCCGCGTTTCCAACTAGCTAGCAGCAACTAGAGTATCGTGTATTTCCTATCCATCCGGCAATGGAAATGTCACACATTATAAATACAATGTTCAGCATTGAATTTTGGTTGCGGTGCGCGCAACGTCGACGTCCCATCAAACTTTAATTAGCGACAGACTTTGGGAACACATTAAGTTTTAAACCTCTCCGTTTTCGCATTAAACTTTAACAAACACAACGACGGATGTCTTTGTCTACAACTTCTTTACTTCCACTTCCAAGGAATGCAATTATCATTTCCTTATCCCGTTTGAATCAAAATCCTGCACACAATAAACCAATCATCGAGGACTATCGGCTCCGATTTCCTTTTTTTTGTCCTTTTCTTCATCCTGCCTCTTCTTCAGGACTCCGAGGCTTATCGTATATATATATATATTCTTTTTTTTATCGCGCCAGTTCGTCTGCTAAGCCGCCAGGATCAAGGAAATGAAACATTATTTTAGCAAGTCCAGAAAATTACATCGGCTTTTTCTGCTTCTTTTTTATCATTTTTCCTCTCTTTCTCTCCCTTAACCCTGACTCAACTGAGGGGTGGCAATATCCTCCGATATTTAACACTCCAAGCACTGGGAGAAATGGAATAAGCCGAACGTGAATTGACGCAAATCTAGACCTTAACTTATAAACTAGTACTTAAACTACTGCAAAAAAGAACTATTTTACAATTCTGGAAGATTGTTTCATAAGAACTACTTAATATTTACTTTATATCAAATATAAAAATTCTTAAAATGCATCTTAATTAAACTTCGTTAATTGACAGTTGACAGATTGTGTTGTCTAATGTCAAATCAAAACGTAAGCTAGAGTGAATTAAAGTTGTCTGATGTCTATAAGAACTACTTATTATTTACTTTATATCAAATATAAAAACTATTAATATTCAAATTGATCAACTTAAATATTCTTTAATTACGTTACATAACATTTATTTAAACATACTTGAAATTTCAATTTTCCTTCACTAATTGACAGATGACAGATTGTGTTGTCAAAGGTCAAATCAAAACGTAAGCTAAAGTAAAAGAAAGTTATCTGATGTCTTTCAGAACCACTTAACATTTACTTTATTTCGAATATAAAAACTCTTAATATTCAAATTAATCAACGAAAATATTCTTTAATTACGTTACATGATACTTATTTAAACATACTTGAAATTTAAATTTTCCTCACTAATTGACAAGTGACAGATTGTGCTGTCTAATGTCAAATCAAAATGTAAACTAAAGTGTATTTTTTTTTGTCTGACTGTCAATTTTTCTTCACTAATTGACAGATGACAGATTGTGTTGTCAAAGGTGAAATCAAAACGTAAGCTAAAGTAAAAGAAAGTTATCTGATGTATTTCAGAACCACTTAACATTTTCTTTATATCGAATATAAAAACTCTTAATATTCAAATTGATCAACGAAAATATTCTTTAATTACGTTACATAACATTTATTTAACCATACTTGGAATTTCAACTTTCCTTCACTAATTTACAGGTGACAGATTGTGCTGTTTAATGTCAAATCAAAGTGTAAGCTAAAGTGAACAAAAATTGTCTGACTGTCAATTTTTCTTCACTAATTGACAGGTGACAGTTTGTTTTGTCTAATGTCAAATCAAAATGTAAGCTAAAGTGAAAAAATGTTGTCTGACTGTCAATTTTCGTTCACAAATTGACAGATGACAGATTGTGTTGTCAAAGGTCAAATCAAAACGTAAGCTAAAGTAAAAGAAAGTTATCTGATGTCTTTAAGAACCACTTAACATTTACTTTATATCAAATATAAAAACTCTTAATATTCAAATTGATCAACGAAAATATTCTTTAATTACGTTACATAATACTTATTTAAACATATTTGAAATTTCAATTTTCCTCACTAATTGACAAGTGACAGATTGTGCTGTCTAATGTCAAATCAAAGTGTCAGCTAAAGTGAAAAAAAATTGTCTGACTGTCAATTTTTCTTCACTAATTGACAAGTGACAGTTTGTTTTGTCTAATGTCAAATCAAAATGTAAGCTAAAGTGAAAAAATGTTGTCTGACTGTCAATTTTCGTTCACAAATTGACAGATGACAGATTGTGTTGTCAAAGGTCAAATCAAAACATAAGCTAAAGTAAAAGAAAGTTATCTAATGTTAAGTAGTTCTTATAGACAGAACTACTTAACATTTACTTTATATCAAATGTCAACTCTTAACATTAAAATTGATCAACAAAAATATTCTTTAAATATTTATTTAAACATATTTGAAATGTCATTTTTTTTCACTAATTGACAGATGACACATTGTATTGTCTAATGTCAAATCGAAACGTATATAATAGGTTAAAGTTAAAGAAAGTTGCCAGACATCTATAAAGTTAAATTTCCAAGATCTCAAAAATATTGTGGGTCAAATTTAATATAGTTTTTCAATTACAATTTACTGATTTCATGTTTTTTATTTGTTTCTTTGAAATTAATTTTATAAAAGGCTTTTCAAATTGAAAATATACAATTAGCAAAACTTAGAGTTATTAGATAACACTTTAATCCAATCATACTTGAATAAAATATGCTTAGGGGTGAAGTTAAAACCTTTAAAGAGATTTCCTCTCGTTTCGATGGTTTCGAAATCTATTTAGTAAATAAAATATGAATCGAAGGCAAATAAAGGGCAGAACAAAAAGAAAAAAACTTTTTTCTCGCTTTTCCCTTTAAAAGCGAAGGAAAATTATCGGAAAACCATTTTCGCGCTCTCTGTCTCACTCCCATTCTTTCACACCACCCACAGAGAAACTCATTTGAATCTTTCCATTTCTCATAATGCGGATTTATACACCGCATCTTCACCCTCACCACTGTTATTATAACTCCCTCCCTTTCTCTCTCACCGTATTTCAACCCCAAATATTTTCACCATCCGTGGACCATTTACGTCCTCA